CTGTATTTGTTGCAAAATAAACCGTACGCCAGTCTTGGAAAAACGAAATCGTTTCAAAAATTCCCCAGCATTTCACTTTTCAAAGTGATTTTCTCTCAACTGAAAAACTTTTGGTCGTCGCATACGTGCCGGTTCTAATATGTTTATCATTTCTAAAACGTCTTCATCGTCAGTTAATACTCCTAATAAATTTTCCATCTTCAATTATAATGCTGTCACACCACCAAAACGATAAAGCACAGACATTTGAGGTTATGGACAGTTGAGCGAAGCTTAAACCACCCTGACATCAGCGCTCAGCTGAGCCTTCGTTTGAGCGCGGTTTAACATTGAACCATGTATTGTAAAACGGACAACTGCAGTTGAACCAAGGCTTATCTTTGAACCTCGCTTAAGCTTGCATTGTAAAACCGGGCCTTTAAGACGCGAACGGTAAGTAATCATGCATTCAAGATTTTTTTTATTTTAAATTCCATGCGTGTTCGACATTTTCGCTTTCAGAATCACTCATGATTGATATTTTAAGCAAATAAATCACTCACTAATAGTCGCGGAAAGAAAATTAACTCGAAATCAAGCCAGATCAAATCTAATTCGACAGCGGTCAAAATGGAAACTGATTTTTAAAATTGTTGTTTATATTAATCGAAACCATAGTAACAAATTTTAAATTAAAAAACGACCTTGTTGATGTTTGATATAAATTCTTTCAATTTATGAATTTGATAAAAAGACGCAAATCTTTTGATGGTCGTACAAAAAATAGTATAAGCGTCACGAACGTTAAGGGGGTTTGCTGGTCGAAGACAAAAATTTCTCCGAAACACCCCTTACCGTTTTTAATACTTAATATACTATTAGAAACCAAAGCAACAACTAAAAACGAGCCGCATTTTATTTTAGAATATATTTTAGAAAATAAACTTGTTTCGACTCTTCCTAATATTTTTATTGCAGTCAAAATTCTACTTACTCTTCCGGTTTCAGTTGCCTCTGGTGAAAGATCATTTTCAAAATTGAAACTTATTAAAAATTATCTTCGATCTACTATGTCACAAACAAGACTTTCTGACTTAGCTATAAAATCCAAAGAAAATAATATTTTAGTTAGTTTGGATTTATTTGATATACCTAATAGCCAGTTTTGCAGAAAGCAAAGTTCGCAAAATGCAATTTTATGATTTATTTTAAATCAATATTTTTTGTAAGTATGTATGTAAGATATATTAATAAACACATCTATACTTGTCCCTTTTTGTTTACAAATATATATTATACACACAAAAATTATAGTTTTGTCTATTTTCTTAAAAAGAGGGGCGTAAAATTAAACTTTGCACAAGGGCGGCCAAAACTCTAAGCGCGGCCCTGTTGTTGGTAGTTCGTGTTCACCGAGTGGTTTGTTATTTTTCATTTACTTCAGCTCCTAATGCACTTCTACACCTCTTATTTATATTTTAGGACTTTTTTTTAAACTCCTGGAATAGTTTTATTCAGTTCCACTTCTGTATTTATATAGTAGTTTGACTTAATGTTTGTCCTCTTCCATATCTTTTGTGCTGCTTTCTTACGTAACGAGTTACATTTTTAGCTTATTTGATTAAAGACAACATAAAATTAATTATTTTAATCAATTTATTAAATTAATTATACAGGGTTAGTCACGAGAGAATTACTTCTGAAAATTATTTTTTCGCAACCCAAAATACGAATACCATGTACCATTTGATACTTACTGAATTTAAAATGAAATGCTTAATCCATGATTGCTTTGAGTTTGACAATCTCATTTTGACAATTGTGGAAAAGGAGGTTACGCGAGTGTCCATGGTGGTACCGCAGCCAGTCGGAAATCTCCTCCGGCGCCGCTAATAAATTTGTCAGTGTGCCTTGTGGTGACCGAATTTAAATCAAACTTTTCGCGCTGAAATTAATTAACAGCGGCGCGAAATCACATTTGAATAATTTGAATTAAAAAAAAAAAAAAAGAAATTTCAATCACGAAAAGGGAATCGTTAAACATAGGCAACCAAATAGACACATGGCTGGGTTAATGCATGATCTTTGGGTTAGATGGCAGCACGTAGCGCTAGGGTAATTTCAGTTAGAGGGTTGGTAGAGAAACGGCATGGTAGTTCATTACGAATGTGGCTGTGTGTGTGTGTAACCACGTGGTAAGAACTAGGTTTAAATTAGTTGGTTTGGTAGTTAATAAAACGGGAGGAAGCCTTTGTTTAACGACGATCAAACGTATTTTTCATAATGATACAGTTGTCCCCAACCCGCGCGGTAAATTCTTGCGCCCTTTTAATCGAAAATTGCAGACTTCCGGTCGGACGCGAACACGTGTTGTGAATCTGTTTCTTTGTTTGTAAATTCACCAATCAAGCTAGTTTTTCTTAATAGTCAGCTAGTGCAAACACAATTTAACAATCAGGATTATTTAAATTAACCATTTGCTAGAAGATTTCATGAAATTCACTTAGTCAGGAAAAACACCTTATGTTTAATTACGAATAGGTCTCTGGATGCATATACGTAAGTGTTACATTATAACACTTCTAAATTCTTCACACAAGATTGTTAATAGTTCATTTACGGCAGTTAAACAAGTTCATTATACTGCGAACTGGCGGGGGGTTATGATATTTTCTCCCCTTAGGTGGTTATCATCGTTATCACGATTAATTCATCGGGGCATGCTTCACGACGCCAGATTGATTAATTAACTAATGCATGCCCCCAACGCTACAGAAAATTTACGTTACCGAGACGCTTTTTCCTCGCAACGATTTTGGAATTTACATCGCCGAGACGCTTTTTCCTCGCAACGATTTTGGAATTTACATCCCCGAGACGCTTTTTCCTCGGAGTGATGATTGGATATTTTTGTATTTGTTTATTATGTGTTTTGTTGGGGTAACCAGTTCGTAGTATTTTAAACTCTCAAAGTAAATTATTTTTGAAGTAACCAATCACTTAGATCATGATATAATTTGGCATAATGTAAACTCTTTGTTTGAACCGTTGATAAAGTGTGGCAAATATTAATCTCCTGTAAATTTTGGTAACTCTGCAATCTTCCACCTCATACATACTATATTTATTTAATCTCACAATTTTAACCTCAGTAATTTTGTTTGTTGTATAATTTTGATTAAACGTAAATTTCATGTTCTACAGTTTTAACCTCACATAATATTTCCATTTGTACAAGTTTATTTCACACCAGATCTTCTGTTTCATAAATCCTTCCTAAGTTTTGTTTTGTGAATACTTTGTTGATGAATGTTTCTACCCTATGAATTATTTGATGTCCGACTTTAATCTCACACAAGAATTATTTGTTGTTTGAAATTTCATAAGGTTGTATGGCGAATCTAAGTGTTGTTTATTGCTCTTTGACACTTTAACACTTGTTCAGTTGTTGTTAATATCAGAGTTATATGAGATTGAATATTTTAAAATGGAATTGAGGTTAAATAACACAGAAAACGTGGCAGAAGCGAAGTTCGGTTCCTAGTCGAGCTGGCGAGATTTATCGTGCCACCTGTACAAGTCCACAGGTTTGGATAGATTCAGGGGCGGCCGCCGACTTTGTGAATTTCTCGATTTGGCCCAATAGTCGAGATCTTTGCGGGTTGGACGACCGTAATGGCCTAGTTCCGCAGGGCACAGTTCGTCATGGGATATGCGTGTGGGGTAGGCTTTGCGATAGATAGAATCATCGTCGCGGGGGGAGAACAGTTCCAGACCGGTAGCTCAGACTCCGCTTATGCTACAACGCTCCAGGGGTACTTTTGTTGTACTCCTGTTAACTGCCGTAACTTAAAAAACAAAAAGGGAAAAAGAGATCGGCCGCCACACGCCTGTAATAACTTGTGTATTTGCATCCAGTTACTTGATTCAGCTTTTGCTTTGTTTTTATTAAATTTGTGATATTCAAATATTTGCATTGATTCCAAACAGATGTATAGAATTTCCGTTTGTTCGTTTTTCATAGGTGTATGTCTGTCAATTCGCGAGTGTTTTTCTTTCACATATCTTAAGGTGTTTGAAATGTAATAATATGTCGTCCGGGAATAAAAACCAAAGGGGGTTTTTGCGCTGAGGAGTAAATCTTCGAAGCGCCTTTCCCCCTGTGAGGGTGCCGTACTCGCCCTCCAAAACAATTTTGTCTATTATTTCTTGCGCTCTCGACCGTGTATGCACTTGTATGAAAGAACGTCTTCCCGCCATTTTTCAAAACAAAAAAAAAAACACACAACGTAGGTTCTCATTTGTTAGACGATCACAGCCAAGGCCAAACTTTGAATTTTTGAATTTTTCGCGGGCCTTTCAAACTGTTTCAAGGTCAATTTTTAAGGCGGGAAGTTTGGGTTATCACAGCCTCTTGATCTTTTGCTTACCCGATTAATCACGAGAAAATTATTTCTAAAAATTCCTTTTATGGCATTTTATTCAAAGGTTACAAACACAAACTCAAAACAAGTAAGTAAATAATTTAACCACTAATCTGTTGAAAATGTTGGGCATTTTGGGGGGATGCTACGGCTTTTTTGTAAATGGATGGCCGAAGAAGTCCAGAGGTTGCAGATTTGCACTTCGAAGAGGCTCTAGGTGACGCAGAGATAGCGAATTAACACATGCACATTAGCGGCGAACAACATTGCTAGAGCACTTACGGCTTCAGTATAGCCCAGATTGATCTGAGCGTACGTCGTCGATCCAATGGGGCTCTAGAGGCGAGTCGACGATGAAAAAAAATGTTAAAACTTAACGTCAAAGTGACACTGCCAAAGTCAAAGCAATCATGGATTAGGCATTTCATTTTAAATTTAGATAATATCAAGTGGTACAGGGTATTAGTATTTTGAGTTGCGTAAAAATAATTTTCAGAAGTAATTCTCTCGTGACTAACCCTGTATACAATGTGCTAGTAACAAAAATATTCTTAGTTTAAATAAAACAAAAATATTTACAATAGTTTTATTAACATCTCATAATTTTTTTGCGCTTTTTTCGGGGGTGGTAACTGGTCCTCGTGCTGGAACCTGTCTTTGAACAATTTTGGTGGCGTTGGATCCAAACAATTTTCCAGGTCCATCTCTGGTTATGGATATCAAGAGCCCTGGGTTGAGCATCTCCTCTCGGCGTCTTCGTTTCTCCAACACCCTCTGGTCCTTGATGGTCTTCCTCAAAACAGGATCTCCTTGGGCGATTTGTTTCAACAGGTCGTTAGATCTAGCAGCAGCTAGAAGTGAAGATGGGTCCAAACACCTGAAACAAACACAATATTAGTGAAAATTTATAATAAAAATAAAAATATTACTTACCTCAAGATGATGGCCCAAAGCTCCACGGGTAAATTTGGCAGAGCAAATTCAACAGACGGGACGAAGGGGAAAATTTCATACATCTTGGAAATTTTATCGTGTAAGCAGAGGATAAACTGAATTGGCAGCGGTCCGCTGCGATATATATACCCGATATGCGCTCCCCCTCCACTCGAGTAACGATGGAGTGGGAAGCGGAGGAGTGGGGACAGTGTGCGGCCGCGGCCAGTTTGAACTGTTATGTTTTTAATTGTTGTAATTGTCGTACATCTGCTAGCTTGTTCCTAAATAAACTGTGGTTGTCATTTCTCGAAACTGAGAGTATGACAGGATTAGATTATAGTGTTATTTTGTGTTTATAGTTACGATCTTAATTTTTTGTCGCTAAAGAATCTTGATCTTGATATTCCTGGTGGTATTCTTCCTTAAAAACTCAAGAAAATCAAGATTTCAACGCTGTTCTAACTATGCTAATGAACTTGCCCAGGAATTTGAAATTGAACCAAATTTCCAACCAGTTCATTTAGTACGAGCAAAAAAAAAACATTTTGGATATACGCATGAAGATGAATCTTTAGCAGATCAGAAAAATAATTTTTTGGGTGAATTTCTATTTTATAATTTTGGATCAGACAGTGTCATCTCTTAAAGACAGATTTGAAGGTCTTCAAAATTATTATGACTTGTTTGGGTTTTTGTTTAAAATAAATTTGTTTTAATAAAAATTTACTTGAGGTTTTAAGTTGTGTCAGATTTTTTTTGTTTGCCATTTGAAGAACAATGTTTTCAGAAACAGACAGCATAGAGCATACCCATGACGAGTTGCAATAAGCAATAACTCGTGATTTTGAAAATATACTTCATAATACTCGGCAGCAAGTATTTATTTCATAATATGAAAAGACGAGTTAATATGCGTCTTGCCAACGAAGGAAACCATTTTTAACATTTATTGTAATTACTTAATAAAAACAACTTTATCTTCTGGAACTCAATAGACTTCTATGAATTTAGTATCGTAATTTAGGGATATTAATAATAGGTATAAAGCACTGCCAGGTATATTAATAGAAACCCTATTATCTAGCGGGTCGTGGTATGAAATATATTTCAAATGGTGTATGTTTAGTTGCATACATTTTTTTAACGTATACATATTTTTGAACTAAAGCAGTGAGTATAGAGTTAAATACATAGTCACTGACTAAAGGTTGAAACATTTTTGCAGAAAAATGTTGCAGTATCGAAGATTTCTAACGTTAAAAATTAGCAATCGTAACGTATACTTTTGATTGTATTCCATTCATTTTTATTTTTTACAATAGACATCCAGATTTTTGGAAAAAATAAAAATCCAATTATATAACATTTTGCAATTTAACTTTAAAACTGCAAAACCGAAACTTTGCAATATTGGACATGTTTTAAGGTTATCTTAAGCATGATAAATCGTTAATCAGAATGTATCCGTTTATCCTCTCCTTAAAATGTTAAAACTTACGGAGTTTATCATAAAAAATAAAATTTCTAAAACCAAATTCTTTAATTTTTCCAAAAAGCTGGATATGTTCTTGTCTACTTCATAAGCGAGTGAAGTTATGCCTAAATAACCTTGGATCTATTTTTAATAACTTGTTGAAAATTGCGAAGTTAAAAAATTTAGAAGTATGTTAGTGGTTCCCTAATCTGTCTATTGAGTTGAGTCCACTGAAATCTACTGCCCTTGCGCTGTCTTGTTTGCAGTATAAAAATATACATTTTTGAATCATTTTTATTGTAAATCGTGTGGTAACCCAAATTTCCCGCCTTAAATTGACCTTGAAAAAGTTTGAAAGGCGCGAGAAAAATTCAAAATTCAAAATTTGGCCTTGGCTGTGATCGTCTAACAAAATGGAAACCTACGTTGTTTTTTTTATTTTGAAAAGTGGCGGGAAGACGTTCTTTCATACAAGTGAGCATACATTGCGTGCGAGTAGAGAGCGCAAGAAACAATCGACAAAATTTTTGGGATGGGGCTAAAATTCGTACCCCCTCTCTAGGAGGAAAAGAGCTGCGAGCATTTACTCGTCAGCCCTGAAAACCCCCTATCGTATATTCATTGACTATTACATTTCAAATAAAACACCTTAAAAATATGAAAGAAAAGACAACCGCGAATTGACAGACATACACATCTGAAAACCGAACAAACACAAAATCCTACACATATGTTTTGAATCAATGCAAACATTTGAATATCACAAATTTAATAAAAACAAAGCAAAATCTGGGTAAAATTTTACAAAGAGCACTTCTCGATTTCGTACAAACTGTTTGCACAGAACTCTTCTACAGGACCCCCTGATCACGTTCCTCACCTTCAAATGTTGTGGAAATGCTTACTTTTGCCATAAAAAAATTTTTAAATTTCCCATTTGCACACTCTTCAATGGGAAGTCGTTTCGAACATAACCTAACTTCTTATAGTCAACAACATGGGTAGGTGTAATATCGGGTTTTTAGTGGAGGCAGGGCGCTTCGCGCCCTGCACCCCATTACAAACATACCCCTAAACGTGGCACTTCTTGCTCTGTGGATCATTTATTTATTGGAATTCGTGCGAGTTCAACTGTGTGTGTTGTTGGTTGCCTACATGCGGCGCAACTAATAGGGTGCAAACCATAGGGCGAACACTAAATATTTTTTTCTGACACAAGGAAGCATTTCCACAACTTTTGAAGGTAAGGAACGTAATCAGGGGGTCCTGTAGAAGAGTTCTGTGCAAACAGTTTGTGCGAAATTGAGAAGTGCTCTTTGTAAAATTTGACCAAAATCTGAATTAAAGTAACTGGATGCAAATACACAAGTTATTATGGCCGTGTGGCGTCAAATTTAAAGTTACGGCAGTTAACAGGAGCACAACAAAAATACGCCGTCGGTTACGATTGATTATCGTTAAACAAAGGCTTCCCCCCTTTTATTAATTACCAAACCAGCTAATTTAAACCTAGCTACTTACAACGTCCTTTCACCATGCATCCACTACACCGAACCGAAAGTACCGAAACATAATGACTCACGCTTTCAACATGCCACTCTGTCCTACCAAGCCGCCCTGTGACTAAACATGCAGAACTAATCCCTAAGCGCTATGTGCATATTTGGTTGCCTATGTTTAACGATTTTTTTTGATGAATTTTTTTTTTCAAGTTCAAATTATTCAAATGTGATTTCGCACCACTGTTAATTAATTTCAGCGCGAAAGTTTTGATTTAAATTCGGTCACCATAACAGTAATCACCTTTCCTCTTGGGGGCGAGATTGTAGTTACCTGCGCCGTCTATTCCACAGTGTGTTGAATAGTAAAAGAGACCATTGTGATTACTGAAAGCAGTTAATTAGTTATGAGTATAAATTAATTACGAACTCAAATTGTGATCACTGTTTTTTTTTTGTATAATGTGCTTTATCACCCCAGATAGGGGACCGAAATTTCACTGAATAACAGACTTGTTTGGCTTTCAGAAACTCAACACTCAACCTGGAGTGGCATCGGGTAGTTCGTATCGATTCTCAGGGGCAGCTCTCTATCAGTGCTCTGCAAAAGGTCTAGGCGGCGTCCAGGACATCTCCTTCGCTGATTCCGTTTCCTCATCTGGAGCTAGAGCTCTGTTGTGGGGTACGTTCGTCGTGTCAGTTGGTTGAGGTGCTCTCGTTTATACCATTAGTCTCTCGGGGGACCCCCCTTCCACTTGAAGGTGTATTCCAGTCGTGTCCTAATTTACAGCTGATCAACTGATCAACAAGTAGTTTGAGTTGGGTATAGAATTAAACAAATCTGAGAAAATTTTTTTGGGCTGCTATGTCACTTCTAAGCGCCCAAGGAAGTTTGCTTCTGACATTTTATTAATAATAATAATCAATAACAAATTTTGATGCAAATTAAATGCCATAATTGTCAACTTTACAACTGCTAACTTTACAAGACAGCGCAGTAGATTGCCTACTCTATCGTCAGTTACAATCGAAACTTGCGTACTCGCCTTTTCATTTCAATGAAGAAGAAAAAGAGATGTCCATGCGGACAGTTTTCTGATTTGTTTTCAACTTAGCACATGCTATTTTTTTAATCAACATTAACGAAATGAACGAGTTGAAGTTCATCGATCCATTGTACCACTAAGGGGAATTTTAGGGCCATTTATCCAGCCAACCAAAACCTTCAGTTCCTTGTAATAGGGATGAGAATTTGGTACCAGGTACTTCTACCGCATTTGTTCTCGGCTGGTGGCAGGCTTTGGGGTGGCTAGGAGTGCGAGGAAGCCAGGAGGATACGCGAGCGGGGGGATATTTGTGATATTGTTAACCCGCATTAGTGTTGAACTGGGGGGGGGGGGGGGGGTTTAGTGAGAAGCTTCTTAATGGTGGTTTTTCCTTCGGGGAAAGTCTTAAAGCCTTCCGGTGGGGTAGGCCGGAGTACGGACTCCTAGGACTTTCATGTCCTGGCACTCCATGAAGGTGTGGATATCGTGGCCGTAAGCAGCCTACTCTCAAGGTACGGTGTATGCGGAAGCCGTGATTCGCGTAACAACGAAACCGTGATCTATGATTTGGCTTCCCGACCCATACTTTCATTTTGTTCATATTTAAATCTACCGCCATACCATCTAATGACTTGTATATTGCCATTCAGTTACTTTTATGACGACTGCTTTCTTTCTTTGGGTTGATTTGTATAACATTTGATTTTGAAAGCTGGATAGGTTTTTTGAAGCTGGGAAATAATAAGTGGTATATGGTTTATGATACTGTTAGCAATCGGTTCAAGAATTTAAATTTGGCGCCTTGGTGGAAGTGGTGATACTGCGAGCCGCTGCCTGTCCACGTCGCTAGAGTGTGAGGCAGTCGAGAATGCGCGCAGGCCTGGGATTCACCTGCTGCTCGACTATTGCGCTTGTGTTTAGCTGTTTCGCTAATGTTTTGTTTTTTTATTATTTTTTTGAAAATTAATCGCTTAAAATACAATGCTTACGATAACTTAAAAAACGTTGCGAGATTTCCAACCATTCGGTTTTCCGCTTCCAAAATTAAATTGTAATATGTTGTTACACAATTTTGATTTTTTTGTGTTAAAACTCAACACGGATTCATAAACCACAAGTGCATGAGTATGTTATTTTATAAAATTAAATAACATTTACTATTGTAAAATTTGTAGATGACGTAATCCCATTGTTGGACATATTTTGGTTAGCTTTTTACCCTCTATCTACACAATATTCCTGAGATGTATATATAAAATTTGGGAACAATCGATCCAGCAATTACGAAGATTATCTGTCTATTAAAAATCGACACAGACAACAGCGACAGGCGGCTGAGAGACAGACAGAAACGGGATATGTTTTCGTAGTAGGTTATGAAAAGTCAAAAAAACATAAAAGTAGCCAGTTGTCGGATGAGCTCTATTACAATACTTCTTTAGGTTAGGTTTGATAAGTGAAAATATGAAGTCCTTGGTGGATCGAACGCTGAGACTTTCAACATGTAAGACAAAAACATCTATCACTGAACTATACGTTGCGCCGTCTGAAATTTGCATATTATGATGTTATTAAAACTGGTAACCACTAATCTAAGAATCAAATAAGATGTGACCTACTCTACTCTGATATAGTATATTTAGTACTACTGATTATTATTGGTTTAATTGTGTACAAAATCTTTTGGAATGGAGAAAATCTTCAGGTTGTGAAAATTTAGTTTTTGGAACGGTTTCATTCTCCAGCGTTGTATCATGGAGAATAAAACGGTTCCAAAATAAAAACTTTCACGTGATTATTAATTTGTTCCAATTTAAACATTTTAGATTCTTAATTAAACAATTTAAAATTATATCTACATTTGCATTATCTAAAGACAAGTTTCAAACATTGTTAAAATTTAACATTACCTACCTTTATTTTCATTTTCACAACTGGAAGCATTTTGAAATTTTGTTTTGATACGTTGGTCTTAAATTTTTTGTGTTAGGGACGGTAGTTTCAGCGAGAAGCATTTTTTAGTTTGTCTCTTGATTAGAATGGTGTCAGTTTTGTTGGCTGTAGTGTTGTGTATAAGTATTGTTCGGTTCTAGTATAACTTGAAGTCCGTGTCTCAGAAAAGTGGCGTGAAGTGTGAATGTAATAGGGCGCTTACGGTGGATCACCTGCAGCTCGGTTGTCAGTGTTTTATGAATCCTGATGATGACGATGATTTATATTATTATTATTATTATTATTAATATTAATATTAATATTATTATTATTTAATCCGAACTATAAGTTTGATGTATACAAGACGTTTCAAATAAAATATCGATATTTATAGCATAACATTCGGCGAAAAGGAAAATTGCACAATAAATAGGATATTATTGAATTATTATTAATTAAGGTCAGATGAGTCAACTTTTTACTAGATAACGTCACAAAGGTTAAATTAATAGCCTGCCTTTTTTAAAATTCATAAGAAAATATATTGTTTTGATAGAGATATTTATTATAATTTTTTGTAAATGTATGTGTGCAACACCAAGTTTTTACGTAAACTGATTATAAAATTGTGTTAATTGTGCAATTATTCACGTTTTGGCCCATTTAGTTAAAAATAAATACCATGTTTTTGTAAAGAAAATAAAAAAAAAGTATCAAAAAAAGTGTTCTGTTTCTATTATCAATTAAATAAAACACTTCGTAGAGACCGTAGAGTTCTGTTGTAAAGTAATGTTTTTACATAGATTTTTCTGAATAGTGATTATTTACAAAGACGGCACTGAGTCACTGAGTTGTCGTATATTACACGTTGAATTTGTTACTCACCAAGAGTAAGCTAAGGAAGTATTGTATCGTAAAACGTATCTTCTAAAGTTACATGGTAGCAATACAGTTCTTGACAGCTACTAATAGGGTGCTTTAAAGAGGCGTCCGTTACTCCCATAAATCATTTTCATGCATTCAAAAATTGAAGGGCTAAAAGATCCGGCTTCAGCTTTGTGCAAATGTTCTTATTTTTTTTTACCCGGAACTCAAACAGCCGGATCTACAGAAAAGTACAATTAAGTGAATACATCTTAATGGAATAAGTTGACTTTTACACAAAAGAACCGATTTTCCTGCTTGCTGCCATTTAAATTTATATTTAGACGATATGTTTTACTATAACAGGGTGCACCCGACGAATGGCTACTAAATGTTTTCTCGACGTTTCATGACCCCAACGTTACGAAAAAGAGATCTCCCGTTTTCGTCTGTCTGTCGTCTCTGTCGATTTTTACTAGACAGATAATCTCCGAAACTACTGGACCGATTATTGTCAAATTGTATATGTATGTTGAGAGTATTGTGTAGAAAGCGCTAATCAAAATTTGCCTGATTATTCCCACCACCCCCCATTGGTGACGTCATCTGCAAACATAGTAAATTTTATTTAAATTTTATAAAGTAACATACTCCTGAACTTGTAGTTTGTGAATTCGTGTTCAGTTTTACCATAGACATCCAGATTAAAAAAAAATCAAATCTCTATTACATTTTGCAACTTAATTTTGAAACTACAAAACCGAATACTCTGAAATCTTGCAAACATTTTAAGGTTATCGAGGTATACAGGGTGTTTCACCTACGACTTTCAGTGCTTATATCTCATTTATTTTTTGGTCGATTTTTTTTAAATTTTGTATTTTAAGGATGTAGATTCCTTTTTATGTCAAAAATTGTTGTTGTAATCTTTAATTTTAAATACATATATGTATTATTTCACGTGAGGTAGCTGAAAGTTAGAAGAAAATCAAGTGTTACGTTGAAATAAAGTAGTCTGTGTCTTCTTTTGGAAGTAACAGTGTAGTGAACTGTCATAACGTGCAATACTGGTCAGTTTTTTTTTAAGATCTAATCTAAATTTGATTGTTTAAAACTAATTGCAGCAGTTAAAAACTGTAAATTTATTAATGTTAAAATTTAATAAACCAGAAAAATAAATTATCAAATAAAGTTAAAAAAAATTACTTTTAATCACCTGTCTTGTAATAAACAAAAACTGTAGCACTTTGAACTATCACTTATTATGTTAATTTAATTATACATTATTCTTAGTTTATATAAGAGATACACCAAATAATACTGCACTTTTTTTGTTTACAGTTTGTTGTGTTATATGTGATTCTGCTTTGTTTCAAGGGGGGCAGATTTCAAGGCTATCAAGTGTTTTAAATGAGATTGTGTACTATATCTTAAGAAGTCGTAACAATGATGAATATAAAAAACTAGTTGTCGGAGTAAAAAAGGAAATCTTAGTTTTTTGTGATGTTAGTGGTTACCATGATGTACTTAACAATTCAAATCCAGCTTTTTGTTAACGAGAAAAAAATATTTACATATCAAACAACAGTAAATTTAAACTAATTTAGGAATTTGAGCTTAACAAGCAGTGTTTGCATATCAATGTATATTCTTATCACTCTAATTTTTTAATAAATTATCAAGAATATTTCAGTCTTTCCCTCTCTACACCCGACGCCTGCGACAACTAAGTAAACAAGTACAACTAGTTGATAATTTCAGTTTGCAAATATTTCAGTAGTGATTGTTGGTAACCGTTCATAACTTTTATTTCAGTGCTGTAAAAGCATAGACATGTTTTTCATAGCAATATTGATTACAGTTGTATCACTAGTACTTTATTTGGCGAAGCAAATGCAAAAACCTCCGAATTTTCCTCCAGGTAAATTTAAATTTGAATATTTAGTTATCACTCGTGAGTGTAGGTCGATATTCAAACGCTTGTTAGAAAAACTGGAACAATTACTAAATGTTGTATGACTGATTAAATGCTTACTTATCGAATTCAGGAACAACTTTAGGAGTTTCGAATGAATGTTTGTGCAAAAATATATTTAATTTAACGTGTGTCTTAAAAAAAGGGAGTTGGTGTAGCCAAAGTAAAATAACATATTCGCATACACGTCTAAAAATGTTAAATTCACTAGCTAGAAAAAAGAATTGTGTACGCTGCTATTAAGTGTAACAATCTGTAATTCTTTCTCATGTCAATGTTTTTCCTTATTACATTAAAATTACAATTCATTATTAAATGAAGCCTTGTTACCATAAGTGCGTTTTAAATTTCATATAGACATTTTGCTATTTTCTGACGAGATAGTGTAATCTCTTGTAAAATATCTCAAGTGCTAAATTTCAAAACACAATAATTTTAGGATAATTTACTTACATTTAATGTAGCACACAATTCATGTTTAGCAGTGCTTTTATTCGAGATGTTATTATCAATCTGAAAAACACCAAATTCTTGTAAGATTATATTCACAAGTTTATCTGAAATTTTATTTTAATATGAAAGTAACGCTACGTTACTCGATTTTTTATTCTTATATACACTGACCGGCAAAAAAAACCGGCCACCCTGAAAAATTTCGCAAAACCCCTTTAAAAATTATTAATTTACTGGTGATCGTTATTTAATTAAAGAGACATTCACTATTGACACATGATGTACAAATTAGCAAAAAAAAGAAGACAAATAAACGCAGAATTAAATTTTATTTAACAAAATAACAGAAACAGACCAAGTACGATCTTTTCTTAAAAAAAAAACAATGAAGGAGGCTGTTTTTGTAAACAGTGTTTTTCATCATTTGATTATAAGTTTGGCAATTAATAAACGTTTTCAGGCGAAAACAATTCCATTAACTCTGTTATTTTGTTCAATTAAATTTAATACTGCGTTTATGTATCTTTTTTTTTTGCTAATTTATACATCATCTGTCAATAGTGAATAGTTCTTTAATAAAATAACGATCACTAGTAAAATTAATAAAGTTTAAAGTTTGGTTTTGCGAAATTTTTCAGGGAGGCCGGTTTTTTGCCGGTCAGTGTATTTAGTAAGAAATATAGTTATTCGCAGTTAAAATATTTAACACACAAGATTCACAACAGTGCATGGAGATTTTTTTATATTTTGAATTTTTATAGACGACATTAGTTCCCAAATATTTGCCTAAAGTAAAGAATGATTTTTCACGCACTATACACCGAGAGAGCAATAAAAACACGATCAAAGACAGCCTTTGATAATTGAAAATTTGTCTTCGATCGTTACATTTTCAAGTCAAACTTCTCCAGCCATTATCTGCTACTAAAATGTTATTTCGTTATAAAATTAAACGATCAATTTTCAATCAACAAGATTCTCTTGTTTATTACCTCGACCTTTATTATCAGTAGAATTATTAGAATTACATTATTAAATTAAAAATCTTTTGAATCAAAAACAAAAATAAGAAGCTTTTAGTTGTAGGCAACTGCATGTCTCGTATTAGTAATTTTTATTTTCGACAAATATTTAGTGCCTCAAAATGGCTATTAAGTTTTGACATATAGTACTATTTTATACTTATACAGGACTTGTTTAGTGAATTTTGTAATAATAAATGTTGTTGAGATTTGGTCCATTAGGAGATGAAAAACAATTTTGGATAAGTATATTACATTATATTTTGTTTGTTTGTTAATATAAATAGGTAGATACACTTTTTTACATTGGGGTGGAAAAATAAATTGAATTTTTCCCAGTCCAGTGACCAAATATTAAAAAAACGGTGTTAAAGTTACTAATATATATTTTGAAGATTATTAAATCTAAATATTATCCAATATCATAACAGTTCTAAGAAGGACTTTTAGCAAAATAATAAAATGCGACCTACTAGTTAAAACTTTGTCAGTTAAATTTATTAATAAGTTAAAAAATATCCTGATTAGTTATAATGGGCTACAAAGGTTACTTTGATAAATTTATATCTGAAGACAAAAACATAAAACAAATAGATGTTAATAAATTTGAGCTTGTGGTGGGACAATATATTCTCCCCATATACCCGGTGGGTTCGAATCGCACTCCGACTGCGACATTTTTCCTCGCGTTTCACAAACATAAAGTGCTGATCAATCATAAAAGAAATTTGGCAGAGTCTATTTAGATTGGCTTAAAACTGTAAACGTTTGTTATTTGAATTACAGATTGGTTTTTTAAATCATTCAAGTTCTTCATTAATCGATACAAGTTCAAAGCAATCATTCCTTTGTTTCCCAGTCAGCATTTCTCTACCGAGTATCCTTGTTTGTATATTTTTAAAACATTTGTTTACAAAATTTGATTTTGTTTTATTTAAAGCAGTTATCACATCACGGAATTTCCTTATTTATGTAATTATGCGATAATACAAATATCAAATAACGTGAAGTTTGCTTCCATTTAGGACCTGTTTGGTTACCTTTCGTTGGAAGTCTGTATGAACTGAAAAGATTATCTAAACTTTTGGGAGGTCAGCACCACGCTTTACAAGCATTAGCGCAGAAATATAAAACGGATGTATTGGGATTGAAATTAGGAAATGAACATGTGGTTACTGTCTTTTCGTACCCTTTCGTTAGAGAAGTGTTAACGAATGATGTATACGATGGAAGACCTGACAATTTCTTCTTGAAATTACGCTGTTTGGGAAAAAAGAACGGTGGGTTTATCTGTACAACTGTTACTCTAATTACACAAGAAAGATTTATGTTCTAGGTATCACCTGCACTGAAGGCGAGACTTGGAGCAGTCAAAGAAATTTCGTAAATCGTCATTTAAGAAACCTGGGCTTCGGTAAAAAACCAATGGAAGTAATGATACGTGATGAAATTGCTGAAGTTTTGAGTATTTTGCAGTCCAATGGATGTAATGTTTCTGTTGATAAATTTTTAGCACCTAGTATTTTGAACGTTATATGGGTGCTAATAACAGGTGAACGAATTCCGAGAGAAGACAGTCTTTTGAAAGAGTTGTTAGATTTGTTTCATATTAGATCGCGAGCGTTTGATATGACCGGTGGAACACTTTCCCAGTATCCGTGGTTGAGACATATTGTGCCCGAATGGAGCGGTTACAATTTAATACAAAAAGTAAACACTAATATGAAAGACTTTTTCATGAAAATTATTCGCGAGCATCAACAAACTTGGGAAGAAGGGAAAAATGAGGATTTGATATATCGGTATATTTCCGAAATGCAACTGAACAATAAAAATGGCGAAGATTTTAACGGTAACACTTTATAAAGAAAAAACACTAAACGTAATTGTCTTTTTTTCCAGAGGATCAATTAGTAATGATTTGTTTAGATTTATTTATTGCGGGTGCTCAAACTACTAGTGGAACCCTAGATTTTGCCTTTCTTTTGATGGTGATGTATCCCGATGTGCAAAAAAGAGTTCAAGAGGAAATTGATAAATATTTTGGAAAAAATTGGGTCATTGAATATGCAGACAGACATAAGTGTGTTTTATAAAATTTGCACTAGTTACTTAAACAAAAATGTGTGATTATTTTTTAAAGGGCTCCATACGTGGAAGCAGTGTTATTAGAAGTGATGAGATTTCGCCACGTACTTCCAATTATTGGACCACGACGAGTAATGCATGACACAGTTCTAGGCGAATACGTTCTACCAAAAGATACTACAATTTTAATAAGCTTGTATTCCGTTCACAATTCTTCAAAATATTGGAAAAATTCAGAGAGCTTCATGCCAGAAAGGTTTTTAGATGAGAATGGCTCATTGATTGCAAACGAAAAACTTATACCATTTGGACTAGGTAGCTAAACTTGAAGAGTAATAGTAATAATATTCCACTCCACACTAAATAACTTCCCAGAAACTTTAAAACTCCTATACAGTTCAAAAATCATGAAGATTATAAATGAATCGGATCTTGTAAATATTTCAACAAAGTTTTTGAAAAAGTGTATTGATTTGGAATGGATCACAGATGTATTTACTTTTGTTGCTTAAGTGTTTTGTTACAGGGCGCAGACGTTGCCTTGGAGAAATTTTGGCTAAAACTGCAATTTTTATGTTTTTTGTTGAGATCTTGAGGAAATATACGGTCACTCTTTCTCCTGATTCAGAAGCACCTACCGCAAGATGTTTACCTGGAATCACTTTATCACCTGTACATTACTCTGCCAAATTTGTAGAAAGATCTTAAAGCAAATTTTACAGAACGTTTAACTGAATTTTAGTTTTATATAGGTTTAAGTAGCCACGGGATAGTTATTATCATGAGATTTATCATTTTTTCCAAATAATGCGATTAAGCAATAATTTAAAATAGCAGTAGGTATAGGTTTTTTAAGTAATCTTATCTGATTTGTCTCATAAACAGAAGAGATGTTCTAAAAGACTCGTTGGCCCACGAGGTTACTTATTCTATAACTATGATAGAAGTATGTATAATAGACTCCAGTTTTTAATAAATGTTACATTATGTGTATAATCATTTACGATGTATAGAACTTCTCTTGTTTCAGACAACTATCCCAGTCCAGGATGTATTTTTAGTAGGAGTTTATAAGTATTTTTTAAAATGACACTGCTAACTTAATAGTGGTTACAGATATATTCATTAGAGCGTTCCTTATTTGTGCATCATATTTTTTTTTCTCGAAGAAGTTAAGTCTACCCCATAAAAAATTAATATTGCTGTAGGAATATCACACAAAAAAATTGAGACTCTTGACTTAATTTCTTCACGTGCCAACGAGGGCCTAAATTTACAAAAAGGAAGTGTGTTAATTTTTGCAAGAAATAAAGTAACGTGTAGTCCAGGCATTCTCCTCTTCTTTGAGAAGAAATCGTCTAGTCCGTGTCATAAAATGTTGAGAGTGAGAGCTCTGCCAGTGTAAAAGACATTAGAACATTCTCAACTTTGCTAAACCCAAATTATATAATTGAAATTCAATACAGGCATGAATATCGAGAACTTCTTGATATATTTCTAATAGGCGATAAAGAGAAGAAAATAAAAAATTGTTCACCTAGTGCCATGCACCTAGTTCGTGTCTATATTTTCACAAAAAAATCCTGTTTTGCATCTAGTATCCATTTCTCTAAAAAATGAGGCTTTGTTTGCAGATATTTGCATTTTTGTTATCAGGATTTACATGAAAGTTTGGTTTGGGTGTACTAAAGCATACCTAAAGTTCCAGTCGAAGATTTGCACTTTCAGAAAAATTTTGTGAAATGTGAAAAAACGAAGATCGAACCATTTCTGAAGCAGCCATTAAAAATGTGTGGTCATTTGTGATATTTAAAGAAATAAATTTTGAAGAGGCAGCAGAAATATGAAAAAATAATGACACACTAGAAAAATCAGTGGAATTAATTTAAGATTGTTATAGCGTTGATAAAGGATAAAATGAAGGACATCGATTCCGAAAAACCAACAAAAAACACCATCAAAGTATCAAAGATAGCCATGGATTCTTGAGGGTTTGTCTACGATAGTTTCACTCAAACTTAACTCAAACTTTCAAATTGACGGTAATTTGTCGAGACGTAAGTAGAATTATCGAATTATCTACTTACACAATATTCCTAACATTTTTACGAAAATTGACAACTACCGCTCCGATAATTTCGAATTTTATCTGTCAATCCAAAAAGACGGCGAACAAACGGCAGACGACAGACAGACAAACAGATGGAAATGGGAGACCTATTGTTTCATACTCCAAGGAATCTGAAACGTCCACAAATTCTGAAAGTAAACACATTGTGCAATTTACTAGGTTAATGTTAATAAGCACTTTCATCACTCTCTTCTTTTACAAATTAGTTCTCTCTGACTTTTTCTGTCTAACTCTTCTCCTTATGTTCAATATTATAATATGATAAGAGTAAGTGTTCCATATCTATGTTAAACATTTCCAAATGAATCGTTCTTGAATTTCGATCTTATGTTAACTCTCTGAGTTTAGATTACTTATCGAATTGTTTTCTTTGTTTTTTTTATTGTTTCTACATTACTATTTTTCCACTTGATGTTGTATTTTGACTGATTTCCTATTAATCCTGTTGGAAATAAAGACTTTTATTATTAGAAAGGTATCTTCACTAATTAGAAAAATAGGTTGGACAATGTATGGTGTCCTGGGATTATTTTAAGATTTTGTCCTTGAAAAATTTTTGAAAATCTGTTTTTTTACCCGATCTTCAGACTTAAATCCCTTGGATTTTCCTTTATGGGGCCATGTACATTCCAGTGGAAAATTAAGAAGTTTGAGAAATGGGATAATTGGGGACTGTAATTTAATAAAAAAATAACCCTAGTGTTTTTAAAAAGTTTGGCCATCAATGAATAGAAGACTGTACCCTAGCTGGTGGTAGTCCTTTTCAGCAGTTTTGTAGCGTCCTGTATCTTCGAAACAAAGCGTATTTGCGAAAAGAACAAAAAAATCTTAAAAAAAAAACCCAAAGAATAACCTCCTGAAATTTTGCCGCATGTTTAGTAAATACTCGGTGCAAAACATACCTATATGCTATTTTTATTAAGATTTTAGGCATCCCCTGATCTTATTACGTGCTTTTTATTATTTCTAATAAAATCTTTCCCTCTTCACCATTTAAGAAGTCATTGAGATGGAAATGGTTTATTATTTATTACAATTAAAAATAAAAACGTAGCAATGCTGGTCTTTTTCAGCCATTTTTGACTAGAAAACTACGTGACAGAATTGTTTATAAATGGAACAAAAAGATGTTTTTTTTTTTCTGAAACTAGTAAGTAATGATTATCTCTCTTACAAAAATTCATTACCTTGTTATGCAGAAATCACTCTGTTTTTGTGAACGAGCGAGATACTTTAATTTAAATTGAATTATATCTTTTGAGGTGTAATTATAATGGTTATTTAACAAATTTTATTTACCAATCAAATTAACATGAATAATGGTTTATTTATCTGATATATCTGGTGCGCAATATATTGTCACGATGATCGGTGATTAAAAATCGGCGTGGGTAAAACTCAACAATTTATTTCTTAGTTACTCGAATTACACAAGTGCACGTGCCCCCCAAAAATTCTACACGTCTACAAACACACTGGACATGGTAAAATAGTAATTTTCAATATTTAAAAAATTATCCGGAAATTTGTGTCATAATTATCAAAACTATTTTTTTTATCTTGCTCCACTTGTATAAAATGTATCAAAATTTACATCCACTTACATCTAAACATGTGTGACTTGGATATATGATATGTTTTTCTGGTGAAATGCTGATAAAACCTGGACACAGAGACCGAATCATGGGTGATTTAAATGTTTTGTTTACACCTTTGCAATGGAAATCACACGTCGTAGCCGCCTGATATGCGCCTGATACAACTGGACTGTGGTCCTATTCCGACCGTGCTCGGGAGGATTGAGTTACTATCGTGGGTTTTAATTTTCATTTTGCGTGAACACGTATGATAAATGTTCTTGGATAATCTTCTTGGTAATACAGACATTCGAAAACAACTACACACTGCCTATATTAATAATATTCGGGCACATAACGCAAGGGTCGACAAAAATCGCCATATATTAGGCCGATTGATAATGTGCATAAAATTTTGTAGAGTGTTTGAACTTGCTTTACGTGAACATGACGAAAGTAGGGAATCACAAAATCTAGGTATATTTCGAGGTTTGATTGATTTTACGGCTGAATTGGACTCTGCTTTATCAAATCATTTGAAAGAAGCAACGGTTTTTAAAGGAACGGCTAAAACTGCTCAAAATGAACTTTTAGATGCCATGAACGTAAAATTTTAACCGAAGGCAAAAAGGTATGTGGAGATTAAATCCTTTTTTACTTTTATTGAATGTATTTTTGTATTTATTTCCGTCACACAATTTCGTCTATTAATTGGTAATAACAACCTGTTTTATATCATCACATTTAACTCATCAATCAAATTGTGTCCCCCCATTTCAACATGTCACGAGCCGCCACTGCTAATTACACAACGATTATGTACAAAATAATTCCGGCGCAACTTGACTGGCTTTTCTCAACAATCGCTAGACTCGACTCGACTGAATAATGCTAGTTCCCGTAGGTGGCCTCTATTTAAACCCAGACTTTCCTTCTAGATGTTACGTTATCGAGGTCTTTCTCAAATACCCATCGCAACTTCCGCTTCCAATCTTTTCATAGGCGTCGTACCGGGGCGGCGTATGGGTTTCTTTCGTAACAATATTTTGTAATCGAATAATCATTGGAAAGAATTTGGCATGTCGGTGATTAACCCACACTGATAAATGTCTAAAATAGCAAATCTAAAAGCAAAAATGGTGAATACTTTTTAATAAGATTTTTAATAAAATAAGTGTAAAATTAAGGGAAACTCATACAAGATTAATTCATTTTATTAAATAAATAAAACTAAATTACATCAAAAGCTGAGAATGTTGGTCATTTTGTTGCAATCATAGATGAGCTCTTCATTTAACTTCATCAATCATATGCCTGAAACCTGAAACTTCAACACCATCAACTGACACTTTTAGCAGTATCTACATCACAGTACAAAAAATAAAAACGTCATATTGGCTGAGCGAACAATGTTTTTTGAATGATATGTATTTTTAGCCTTCTCTCCAAAAAGTCAGAAAAGCATTTTTTGTACTTCCCCTAATTTTGTTGACGTCACACCAAATTTCGAAAGCTTCGTAAACTTGATTGACACAGATTGTATTGTTATTTTATTATTAAAATTATATTATTATAATAATTGTAACAAACTTAATCATAACAAGCAATCGCATTTCTTTATATTTGACAAATGTAATATCATTTTAAATGTTCGCAGATAAACATTGCATGCGTAATATTAATTGTTTTGATCCAACACCTCCTAATAAAATGGTACAACCACCATAACTTTAAATGTGTAAAGCTATATTTTATAAGGACATTTTCATTTTATTAGTTATTGCTATTAATAAGTAAATTGACTAAGTAAGGTTATGATTAACGCTGAAGTTGGAAGAAATCTCTTTTTTATTCTATGCAACAAGTTTCATATTTATACTCCAAGGCGCATTTAAAGAATCGCAAATAGAAATGAATTAGTCCATTTGATCAGTAAAAGTTGAGGTCTGATGTTTGGTTGTCCGGATCCTGGATCTCTTAGCTATCTCAGTCTTGTTGCAAATTTGCTTTGAAAACAACTCTTTGCTACAGTAGACGGTTTCCATTCACCGTACGGTAGTATTTCACTATTGTGATACCAGCTCCCATGTTTGTCATCACATCACTCATCAGGTTTGGTGAAGAACGTCTCAAATAGTGTTCGGTAAAAAATTGTATTTCAGGTAAGCTACAGTTTATTAAAACCTCTAGCATTATGCACAAATAGAACTAAAACACAACAATTTGTTTACAAATACGGCAAAATGTTTTGTTATAATGTTGCATAAAAGTTGAAATATAATAGGTAT